ACAACTTTAATTAGAGACTCAAAGATAATTAACTTAGTACAAAAAAAAGTTTTCTTTGGACAATTACTAGAAAATTTTTACTTTCGCACCTATAGTAATTTATATATAGAACCACGTCACGTTTTACTATGATCATTCTTTAGTTAACTAAAGAATCGTCAATTAAGTCACAATTATTTGAGGTTACAAGACAGGCATGTGCTGTCCATACTTTGCAATTGATAGTTCAACAAAGTTTAAAATAATGCAAGGCAGTGCATCATTGAATAAGCATCCTAAACAGACACAAAAACTTTATGAAGCACAATTGTAAATAAAGGGCACTGACATATCTAATAATCAAAATAAAAATTATAAATTTGATCCATTAAATATTTTAAGTGAAACTAAAACTCGTTAGAACTCAACGTACTTTGCTTGAAAATGGGTTTTAGAATTACACACAGTAATGAAATTAGCTTCTACAATATTACTTTCAAAGAAAGACTGTAGTTCTCAATTAGAGGGTGAAAAACTCGACAGATTATATTTAACTATAGATGAAAAAAATTTTATTGGAAGTATGATTAATTTACTAAGTCCTTTTGAAATAGTAACCCATCATATATGTGGTGCAAAATATCCTACACTTAATTTAGTTCACCTATATATAGAAATACTTAAAAAAAAGTTTCAACCATGGTTTGAAAAAGGTGAAATGTTTGATTCTTATTTAACCTTAATTTATGGTGAGTTAGAAGATTTATCTAATCAAACCAATATAGAAAAATTATCTGATACTGATGATTTAAGTTCTGCTAGTAAAGATAAAAATATATTATCAGCAGATAAACGTCGATATTGGCAATTTACTTACTATCAATTTAAACGAAATATATACAAAAAGTATAGTAAAAGCTGAAGACAAAATCAAAAAAATATTCAAAGCCATAATAAAGGTAAAGATAAAAGTAGTGTAAGTCAATGATCACAAAATAAATCAGTTGAGTCAGATAATATAAATGAAATTGAATATTTACTACCTACTGATACTTTGGGTCTTTTTGATAAAGTTCGAGCTGCCATCTATTTGTCACTAGATAAATTATAGTGTGTTCCAAGTGATATAGCTTTAGTTGTATCAATCTTGGATCCTAGAATGAAAAGTTTATAATTTACTACAGATACTCAACAAACAAATACAAGAATTAAACTTCGTAAATTATATAAAAATATAAAAGACAATTTACAATTACAAGATCAAAGCCAAGTATCTAATATAACTACTGTTAGTAAAAATGATACTTTGGAAAATGATAATTTTTTTGCTGAAGTTTTTAACTTAAAAGGATCAAATAATAATATCCCTTAAATTGTAATACAGGCAAATTTGCCTGCGTTTATTTTTTTAAACTTTATTTTTTTAATAAAATC